CGTCGAAGCAAAACTATACCAGACGTGCAGAAATGGTACCAGCACCGCCATCGGACCGAAAGCCTTTTGGCGAGCTAGTCAACGGCGAACCAAGTGCAGTTGCGTGGACCAAACCAAGAGATCCGTTTCGCATTTTGAGAAAAGAATGTCTGACACCGAGTACTTCGGACATTCATTCTTTGGACGTAAATTTGATCTGACAGTTGACTCTTCAATCACTGTCCATAGGTTACCCGGGCGAAAGCCAGTCATATCGCATTTGCTGATCTGCAACTGAACGTTCAGGGTTTTCTAAGAAAAATGAAGTGACTTATTTGGCAGAGTCTGTTACCTGAGTAAATCTTTCGTAGTTTTGTTATCTTGATTATAACTGATTTAAAAATGGAATTTGTAGGAAGAACATTTTGTTCAGGAGCTTCTGAGTGAGTAGCGAGGTAGTATAGTTGGTAGGGCCTGGTTCCGAACAGTTTGAGGCTCAGTGAAAATTCGATATCGACAGAGAAATCGTACACCAATGCATGACAAATTGTGGCTCATGATTGTCACCACCGTCGTCAGTGCTCATTGATCTTTCAAGAATTGATCGGTGATCGTTGCGATAGATTTTATCATCATCACATTGCAGATCTGTGCAACGTTTCTCGTCGCCGTTTCTCCAGTTTGCCTCTTTTTTGCGTTGTTGCTCTGCTCGAATATTTCTGAATTTCTTAGTTTTCTCAGAGTAGGGTTATAGCTTATTCAAGGTTTATTTCCAAAGTCTGCTGGTCTTTTTCTTAGTTGTTTTGATCAATTTAAGAGCTCGAACGAATGTGTGTGGTGAAAAAAATTCAGAATCTAACTTTTTTGATATTAATCAGTCCCAACATAAGCAGAAATTCAAATTTCTCAGTAACAGTAAAGTAATGTTGTAACTTTTATTGGTTTAATTTCAAATAATGATGAATAATAATTTCATATAGTTTCGACTTCTCAAGTTTTTGAATATTGTGAATAAGGAACATTTCAAAATGTATGTGAATCGATACCTACTCGTAATTTTGTTATATTGTTTAAATTCATTGAAGTGAAAATAGAGTCTTCTTCCAACATTGAGCGCTAGAGCGCGGAGAAGAAGGGGTACTTCGCGAGCTTATAATGGTGCTCAAGAACGTTTCTTAGCCGAGAAAAAAAATTCTTATCGTAATCCTCGGTAGAGAAGGAGTACTGAGGTGGAAGAGTTGACTGAATGTTCAATTCTTATCCCATCCCAATCTTTCCATCCCAATTTTTTACACGAGGTTATCATCCAACCCATCCTGATGCTCCTCCCTCCTAAGGCTTAGGTAAAATATACTCTTCTGGCTAAAAACCATCTCTAAGCACAAGTAAGATCGGCTACCCGTCCTTTTCTGAGCTCTATCGCTCAGTGATGGATAAGAACGAAGTACCCCCAACTACATTTTCACCTCTATTTGTTATAAAAATTATTGAGCTTGAAAACTGAGCGATCACTTTATTTTTCGCCGTCAGTGGTCAATAAACACCTTTGTTTATCGACCATCGTTATTATGACATTGTTCATCTAAAATGTTTTCGAAAGAGGACACACAATGATTGTAAGTCGATTTCTCGGGTGCGAGCCATGCATTCGACATCTATTCTGAATTATGACAATTTTTCAACGCGAATCTTTTTTATTTGACAACTTATTTCATTTGTTATTTTTTTGCAATGTACGTATGCATGTGTGCAATTTTTAGAGATGCCGATACCCACGTTCAAGTTATTAACAGGCTATGAAATGCCCATGGTTGGTTTGGGTACATGGCAAAGCCAGCCTGGAGAGGTTTGTGCAGTTCACCTATTACCAAGTCATTTCAATTCGACAAAAGTGTTGTTTCTGCTGGCTCTTTGGCGCTACCCTACTAAAATAATTTTTTTGATTTTTTGTTTGAATTTTTAATTTTTTTTTTGTATTTTAAGTATTGTATCTTGAATAATATCAGACTTTCTAATTTGCTGCCAATTACAATTTTAAACAAATAAATAATAATAAATATGTAGGTTATAATAGTTTATATTTATTCCTATTTCAGGTAGGTAAAGCTGTAGAAGTAGCGCTGAATGCTGGCTATAATCTCATCGATTGCGCATGGATATACGGTAATCAGGCAGAGATAGGTGAAACACTGAAGAAGTTGTTTTCCACCACTCATAAGGTGATTTTGATTTATTTATGTTTTTATTCATTTATTTATTTATGTAATATCGCACTCATACATATGTGGCTCCTCGTAAATTCATCGAAATTCATTATATGTTTCGACTTCTATGATTTTCTGACGTTTGGGATCTTAAAACCGTGAAATAGCTCTTATTTCGGAAATTCTAGATCCATGGGTATTATTGAAAACCCCCAAAATTCAATTTTCGAATAATCTAAGCTCTCCACCGGCTTACTGAGGAATAATAAAATACTGTGACCGATGGCTAAATTCTTTTGAAAATTTCGATTTTTCCCTACTTGTTTCAGAAGCGTATGAAAAACGCTGATTTCAATTTTTAAGTTTTTGATTCCAGAGAGAAGATATTTTCATCACGTCAAAGGTATGGAATACATTCCATTCGGCTTCTGCCTGTAAGGTCAGTAAACACAATTTTTTCTTCATGATTTTAAAATTGTCATTCTTGAAAGCGGATATCCGTGAGCTCTGATCCGCCTCGATTGTAGGCGGAGCTTGCGTGCTTAGAGCGTTGGTAATTGCTGGATCGCTGGCGGTGACCGATCATAAACAAGTTTCACACCACTTGTGGCTATTCTGCTTGAAGCTTCAGCAAGGACTATGGATCACTTTTACAGTAACCCGTTTCCTTATTTTAGGAGCACGTCAAGGAAATCTTGAATCAGTTGCAACTGGATTACATTGATCTGATGCTGATTCATTGGCCTCATGGCTACGAGGAAGGTGGAGAGCCATTCCCCAAGGTATGCTTCCATTTGAACAGTGGGGTTCAGGCGTAGAAGGAATAAAGTTCCCGAGTCGGTGACTTTCACGTTATTCCAAGTGTACGGGGAAGAGGTGGGGTGAGTTAAGGGTGTATAGGTGGTTAGTATCAAGGCAGGCACCGTAATTTGAAGAGTCCGGGATCGATCAACCGATACATGCAGTTGCACCTTTTCTTCGTTCAGGTGGAGGTACATTTTAGGAATATACCAAGCGGTGATTAAGTGGCGCCGCTACAATCCTCATAATCTATAAATCGGTTCTAAAACGAGATCCATGTCACCCAACCAGGCCAGTGATCATTAGTTTAAGGGGTATTGAACTAGCCTGCACGAGATAGATCCCGACTCATATTCTAATGGGTTCTGAACGTCATAGTGGGAGTCTGANTGAGAGGTTTTTCTTGAAGAGATTCCCAGTTTCTACTATAATCTCGGTTGTGAAGAAAGTCGAGTGCACGACGCAACTGTAGGAACGATTGATCAATATCGAACGTTTCAACCGTTCTTCGCATAGTTCATTATACTTGGTTTCAGAGGGAAGACTGCGAAAAGATGAAATACTCGGATGTTGACTATCTGACTACTTGGAAAGTTCTGGAGGATTTTGTGAAGGAGGGAAAGGTGAGTTCAGGTTGGGAGTTGGGACGGGGTATCATTCAATAACTCTTCGATTATTTTAAGCGCTTAACATCAAAGCAAACTTTTCAGCGGAGTTTTTTCAAATTTTTTTTTCAGATTCGTAGCATTGGTGTATCGAATTTCAATCATAAGCAAATCGAAAGGATAATCGCTAACGGTACTGTGAAGCCAGCTGTGTTGCAGGTAGAACAAATTTTTTTTTGCACAGTTTTCATTTAACTATGAACGCTAAGAGATATGGAACGGATTATTCGAAAAAATTCAAGCGCGCGTACGCGACGCGGTTCTGATACTGATATCGGAGTTCCATTGTGATGGAAATGGAAGTGACCGGTGAACGTTGAGCGAGCAGCTTGCCCATCCTTGTTTTACCACTGGAAGCAATTTCCTGGCCCATACAGTAGTGATCACCACAATTTCACTCGAGTAAAAGTCTGTGATAACTTGAAGGGGTCATTGGGTCGAAGCCAAGAATCAATTTTTCAAACACCTATTTATCTAGCAGCTTGCAAGTGTTTATATGTTGTTTAGGTCGAACTTCATCCGTATTTCCAACAAAAGAAATTGAGAGAGTTTTGTAAAGAACATGGTATCGCAGTGACCGCGTACAGGTAATAATCAAGGGTTCTGAATTTTTGTTTATTTGTTAGTTTCCTTAAAATTATGGTCAGTATACTTGAGTCCTTCCGGGTTTGAGTTTTTAGCACCTGAATTTTCTCACAACCAACTCGTTTCCTCCCACACACAGTCGAATTCAAATACAGAACCTAATCCAGTTCTAATCAGTTTCGTGGTTGTCCAGGTCCTTCAGGGACTCTCAGAAGTGGCAGAACCTTACCCATTTCTATCCGCTTCTGTGGATTGACTCGCTCTCTCTGGGCTTCGAAAGCGAGCGGAAAAAGGAGGTGTTAGCTCAATGGCCAGATGTTTTAATATTAAATATCAATGAAGAACTTCTTCCGTAAGATCAAAAAAAGTCATGTCGACCCTACTCCATGTACAGATTGCTCTGATTTTTCAGCTCTCTCTCCAATCCTGGTTCGGCGTTTTTCCGTAAAGATGGCGATCCCAATCTTCTGACGGATCCAGTCATCAAAAGGATTGCCAGTGCTCATAATAAAGTGAGTGGAAACATTGACTCTTCTTCTTCTTACCCATTTGACTATTTGTCAATTTCTTGCTTTCTGGCGTCAGTTTTTTCCTTTCATGCCTCTATCCTCACTTCTCGGTCTATTGCTAGGAGCTTTTATGCTTCTATCTCTCTCATTTTCATGCTCGTCTTATTTTGTAGTCGGGTTTCTTGCCAAGTTGCAGAATGTAATTGATAGCATGGCGTGACGGTCAGATATGGTCAAGTGAGCCAGTCGTTTCAGCAAAACTTACTTTAGATCTTACTGGAAAGGCAAAGAAAGAAGGGAAGAGGCATTTCGTTATCCTCGAATTTTTGAGAAACAGATCCCCCCAGGTAGAGATCTGCTCCCTGATTCCACTCAATACATAACGCTCAAACCAGCGAGAAGGCATTGACAACAATGATTTCCATGCTTATTGATTGGCTTATAAATACTGTAAATGAGAAACGGTGATTCACAAAAATAGTTTGTCATGTTCAAATGGATCGTGAAGCCATCAATTAACTCCTGTATTCCGAATGGGGCAATTTGGTATTAAACTATAAACATAAACCCTCTGAAAATTCGAGCGTGCATCGACCGTGACGCGCACGCCCGCGTCGTGTGCTGTTGCTCACGCTCATTAGGTGACAGGCTGGCACCACAGAGTTATGGTAAATGCCGCCATAAAGTCAAAGTTGCCTTTCTGATGAATTACAACAATTCTTCAGACGCCAGCACAGATAGCTCTTCGTTGGGCCGTGCAGCTGAATGTGCTCGTCATTCCTAAATCGACATCCGAAGGTGGGTTTTGAGATAGAGTGGCGACTTTTTCCGGTGCGTGCTATGATATAGTGAGCGACAGTTGAAAAGAACACTAAGGACTATATTTTCGGCTAGATAGACCATATTTTTCTGAACTTCAGTACGTAGGTTCACGTCTGAACCGGGTTAATTATATTTTTGGCCCAAGTTGTTTGAATTTGTGGATTACTTTTGGGGCACTACTGTACGTTTAGCACGTATCAAAGAGAATGCGGCACTGTTCGACTTCAAGCTGACGGACGACGAAATGAAGGAAATCGAAGGCTTGGATCGCGGTTGGCGAATTCTCGATCTCACCGCTCGCGATGGTGATCACCCTTACTTCCCATTCTTGGAGGAATTCTAAGCATCCACTTTCACTTAACTTTTTATTTGATTTTGTGTCTGTTGATTGAGGCATTAATAATAAATTATTCACAGTTTTTTTTCATTTGATGCAATATTGTTTAACTCGTCTAAAAGCAGCGAGGGCGGCTGGGGCAATTAGCTAGTTGTCGTGATACTATAATAATCGGGTCAACTGGTACTGGCTTCAAGAGTTTCAGGGGTGTAAGCTCAGCGCTGGCCCACATGACCATATCTGATCGCTTGGTTCATAGAAATTTCTCTGATTGAGTACCTTCCTTAAGGTTTCTGACGGGTAAATGCCGACAGAACCAGACGTGAAGAGCAATAGGAAATCTGCTCACAGGCGGGATTCCATCCTGAGTCAAGGTCTTGGCAGTTCCGCAGGAGAAGCAAACGTCGGAGTGCGTTCATGGATGGGAAGCGCAGAGAGTTAGCGCAATCGCGTCATGATTTTTGCGTAAGTCTTCTTTGTTTCAGCCTACTTGGGCTTCTCATTCTCTCGTCGGAAATTTGCGTTGCTGAAATGACCACGGTAACATGGTTTCTACTCACGCCGAGTATGAACTCTGAGCGGTCATTCCCATTGCGGCAATGTTTAAATGAATGATTAAGTGCCACAAAAAGATACATTATCTCTGGCGCTCTTCTCCTCTCTCCTCCGCATCCCGAATGTGTATTGGGGAAACGAATGACACCCCGCCTGCGAGGCAACTAATTAACGGTAAGACATCTATCCAATTCATAGGTCGGGGCAAGACAACTAGC